TAGGAAGGCAGGATTATAAAATTAGCCTTGACCATGAAGAGTTTGGGGGGTGATGGAAATATTCATTACCTGATTATATAGATGATTCTACATAAGTGTTTGGATATGTGTACACATAAAAAATGAATGTTAGCTCTCATTAAAAAAAAAAATAACCTCAACAAAAAGAAAATAAGAAAATTGATTAATAGTGGTCAAAGACCTTGACAGAGACCTCTCCAAGAAAGATATACAGATGGTAAATAACCATATGAAAAGATTCTCCATATCATTTGTCATATGTTAAATGCAAATTGAAACAATGAGATACCGGTACACATCTATTAGAATGGTCAAAATCCAGAACACTCACAGTGCCAAATGCTGGCGACCATGTGGCGCAACAAGGACTTTCATTCCTTGCTGGTGGGAATGCAAAATGGCACAGCCACCTTAGAAGACAGTTTGCCACTTTCTTACAATATTAACATATTCTTATAATACAATACAGTAATCACACTCTATGGTATTTACTCCAAAGTTGAAAACTAATGTCCACACAAAATCCTGCACATTGAAGCTTAGTAAGTTCATGCAATTACAATCATAATTACTGAAATTGGACACAACCAAGATGTTATTCAAAAGACATATAGATAAATAACTGTAGCTGTAGAACAACTGGACGATGGGATATTTTTCAGCACTAAAAAGAAATGGGCTATTAAATCATAAAAAGATATGGAAAAATCACTATGTGAAGGAAGCCAGTGTGAAATGGTTTGAATCCAGCTACATGACAGTCTAGAGGCAAAACTATGGCTACAGTAAAATGATCAATGCAAGGCCTTGGAGAAGGAAAGGATGCACAGGCCGAGCACAGAGGATTTTTAGGGCAGTGAAGCTACTTTGCATGATAATATAATTGTGGATACATGTTCTTATACATTTTCCCAAGACTATAGGATATTTAACGCCAGAGTATAACTATCAGGTAAACTATGGGAGTTAGAAAATAATAATGTGTCAATGTAGGTTTGCCAATTGTGAAAAATGTTCCCTTCTTATAGATGTTGATGATGGGGGCAGCTGTTCATGATTGGGGCAGAGGGTATATGAGAAATTTCTGTAATTTTGCTGCGAACTACTCTAAAAATGAAGTCTATTAAATAATTAAAGAAATTCATTACATTCTATTAAAATGACAAATATACACCAACAGAACTAGTAGCATTGATCAACTGTAGGCATACCAATAAACTAAAATGATTAAATTTACATAGACTACACCGACATTTCTGCTTGCCAACTACATTTATACCTAGAGATGCACATGGCTTGGGATGATAGTACCTTCAATGGAGGAAAATTTACACATATGCATTGTTCAATCACCAGTTAAATCTGAAATTATTTTAACTTCAGATAAAGGCTGAGGTGGGTGGCCTTTATCTGAAGTTAAAATAATTTAACTTGATTTAAGGAAAAAGTTAAGTTAAATTAATTTAATTAATTTGAGAAAATATTAGACATACGGATTTTTCAATCACCAGTTAAATCTGAAATGGTTTGTTTCCAAAGCAACAGAAGGTTACAAATTTAGTTAGAGCAACCTATGTGGGTGAATTAGTGAAAAGACGATACGCACCACATAAATCTATAAACCTATTCACCATTTCCAATAACCCTTTATTCGTTGTCATTATCTATATGCACACTACCCACTACCCCTTTAACTCTGAGTTGTTGCCCAGCCCGTCCCCCCAAGACAATCACTATTGCCGGAGTCAAATAGTCACACACTGAAAACTCATTCCCCAAGAGACTTTAGAGCTATGATTTGACTCTAACTTTTGCAAGACTCACTCTAACTTTAGGCTTGAGATTCATACAGATGAACTACATGATAACCTATAATTTCTTTCCGTCTCAGTAACTACATTCCTTTAAATGAGTTCTAACACAGACCTCTTGATACATATTTTGATTCTATAGCAAATTGCTACCCTGTAAGGCGCCAGTACCACTGGAGGTCCTCAGGCAAAGCACAATGGGATGGAAATTGGTCCATTTCTTTTGATGGTGATAATTAACATTTGTGTAGCAATTTTAGTTCGCTGTAACCATGGTCCCATCGCTCGTGGGATCTGAAGCTACCCAAGCCCCACCATCAACCACGCAGCGTTTCCTGTGTCTGTGGGCATTGTGCTAAATAACTTAGGGAGCCTCTATTCTCTGAGCCCCGTGGAGGTAATTTCTCTGGATGCAAAGCCTACTGCCTATTTTTCTCCAAATGACTATAGATGCTCATACCTCCATGCCAACTTCAGTGAAGGAGGACAGTACACATTTGATGCCCTTCTGAGTAATGCACACTCTACCGCCCATGATTTTCTGTAATTTGTGGCCCATGACTCAGCTTTCTACTCTTCTTCCACACACTAAACTTCCCACTCGCCCTGCTGAAATTGCTCATTCACATCTAGCCACCCCACCTCTGCAGTCTCAACCTTTGCTTTGACTCTTTTTTCCTCCTATTTTAACCAAAAACTGGATCTAGCCTGAAAAGCCCACTTCTCCTCTACCTTTATCAAGCTATGTCCTGCTGGCTTGTAAAGTACTCTTTCTCTTGTTTCCTATGAAAAATTCTGTTTCAGTAAAGTTTGTGCCACCCATGCTGTTGTGGATATTACTAAAAATCCATTTCCTCCTTTCTTTCAGCAAACTTTCCCATCCCAGCCTGTCTTGGAGGAAAATGTGACCACATAATTTAGCTCTAGCTAATAGAATGTCAATCAGAAAGTGACATGAGCCCTTTTGGACTTAAGTCTTAAGTGGAGATGCATCTGCTATGTTCTCTCTCTGCATTTGCTTGCGGGATGCAGATGACAGAGACACCTTGGTGAATATTGAAATCATGAGATGGAAGAAGCCTGGATCCCTGGCTCACTATTTGAATAAAAGCTTGTCATTTTTACCATGGGCAGAATAACAGTATTTGCCTTAGGAAAAAAAAAAAAACAGTGACAGGAAAACAATTGCTACTGTGTTTGAACCATAATAATACTGTGGGCTCCATTTTTTGTTGCAGTTGGCATTAGCATTACCTATACTAATAAATGTTCTTCATTGTCATCTACTAGGCTTAAATTATAATCCATCTCATTCATTGGAGACTTTGGCACGAAACAATCATGTTTCCCTCTCTCCCGACCCCAGCATCTTCATGAATTAATTATAATATCCACTTAGGCAACCTATCCAAATTCAATCCTCTCAAATTATTTCCTCCTCTACTTCCATTTGGTTACTCACTCTTGCAGGAATACATTGAAAACTGTCACCTCCTATAGGGAGCTCCTCCATCTTCAAAATCATTATCAACCCATCTGCCATGTGACTTTAATTTCCTCTCCATTTCCTCAACTTGTCCAAACCCTCTCCTGGTGACTAGAATTGATTTCATTGAGGCAGTCGCTCTTCACATCCACCTTACATTCAGGTGGTGCTTTATTTGAATAATGGCCTGAGTTTCATTGCTTTTCTGACTTTTTTTTTTTCACATATATCTAGCAAAACCCCAAACTTCTAGGAATTGATCTGTCCGCCTTTTCTATGATGTAATATCCAGATAATAAGAACTAATGAATAAAATAACATGGAAGATCAATTCCAGCATAAAGATGTAATCACTATCTCTAACTCACCGTCAACACTTTCAGAAACAACAACTACCAACTTCTTTTCTCTGTCAGTATTCTTTTAGTGACCCACCTTGGACCTACCTATGCACATCATAACCCTTGCAGTGAGCCTTGATAATGTCCCTTCTTCAACCTCCAGTATCAGTCTTTCTCAAGTAATTGTGAATGTTACTTCCCAAATACTTATCAACATTTCCCCATATTTTCTGCCACGCCAATCGCATCTTGCCTGCAGTACGTCTTAAGAAAATTGCAATTTAAGTTTAATTACCTGATCATCCTCTGTAAGATCACTAAGCTGTAATCTCGTTTGGACTGGGTTTTTGTCCATTTCTACTTCTTATTTTACCTCTAGCATTTTCTTTACTTATGCTTATAATAATTTCATAAACATTTACTGAATAAGTTTGGGTAAAAGGATCCATTAATATAGGTGCAAGTATAAGTTTTATCAGAATAAACATATTCATGTATGAAGCAGGTATTCATAGCCACATCGTCTAAGAGAAAAAAAGAAAATATGAGGTTTAACAAAAGCCAAACAAGCAGAGCATGATGGATTCCAAATTAGGTATTCTCCCTTTCCCTCACCAACTCCTAAATATCTTTCTGGTCCTGTACGATGACGCATTTTGAACCTTATGGAATGCTCTTGTTTTCCTTTATTTTATATGCTCAGACAATTATGTCTCAGTTTCAATGCAATTATCGGTAAGTATGCAAAATAATGTCCATGGAAGGCATCGTAATGCTTTAAAAAAACATGCCATTCACAGCAAGTACTTTGAAAGAAATACATTAATGTTGTAAATGGAAGTGTTTAATGGCCCACACTCCAAATTAAGATTGATACCAAAATATATCCAAAGTAGTCATCATGGGAAAGGAAAAACAACTAGAGAAGAAAATTACAAAAACTAACATTAAAAATCCTTGTTTTCTATCATTTATTGAGGTTTTGCATGTTGCAGACATCCCGCGAGGCAAATTTCTATGTGCAGTAAAACAGAAACCATTATTATCCTTATTTTACAGATAAGAAGATGGAGAATTAGAGGAAACAAAGCTAGGAGCCAAATTCAGCTTCTGTATGATTCCAGAAGCCGCACTTAACATTAAATTACCTTCTCAATAGGTAGTTAAGTCTTTCATTTTGAGCCATTACTTAGTGAAAAATCAACAAAAGCATTTTTTTACTACTAATAGCATCTGATAATGAGACGTTTCAATTACAATCAGACGGGGAAGGAGAACAGTCTGTACATTATAAAACTTAGCTTTTCTAGGATATTAAATAAGCAAATGACTCAGTCTTACCCATGAATTCAATCCCCAAGTGGTCTGCTACACCGAAGTCAGCATGGAAGGAAGGGAAATAGAAAAAGAGGAAAAGATTAGAACAAATTCCACACACAGCAATCAGTGTTTATAAGACTGGCCTTCAAGGCAAGGGACCTGTCTCAGTTGCAACCTCTAGGTTTGCCTGAGAAAGATAACTCACAGATGACCAGGAACACGGGTGCTCTGAACACAGATCAGTATTTCCTTTTATCTCTGAACTATAGTTTGGAACTTCAGATGGACTAATAGTGCAAAAAATTACAAAGTAAGCAAAGTATCAATGTAGCAAAAAAAAGGGGGGGGGAGAGAAAGAAAACTGTTTACCCAGAGAACATCTGGTACTAATGTTATTTTCAGAACCATGCTATTTTATGTACAATAACCATTTGTTCAACATAAACGTATTTGAACTTCCATGTTAAGAATGGGTAAACAAAGAACTCCTGCATGAAAGCCCCGAACCAGGTACTTTTCACCTTCACAAAAAAACTATGATGGCAGGCCTTTTTCTTTCTGTCTTTCTTTTGTTGGATGAAAAAAAACATGCATCAGTGATATGAAAAATCTTCCACAGGTCCCAAGATTTGAGGCAGATCCAGGGCAAAAAAAAATCTGTCTACCTGAACCGTAACTCCCATGACCATTCAACTGGGTACACCATCCTCTAAACACAGAATGGCACATGTGTCCAGGACGGCTGCGTATGCACAGGGACGGCAGCTGGTCTCCCCAGCTAATGATGTCCCCTGACCAGCAGAGTGATAAACTGTGCCAGGCTGGGCCCAAGATTCAATCTCAAGGCTCCTTTATTTAAATTGTGCTTTCTTTTGATCAATTTTTCGCTCACTCAAGTTTTAAATTCACTGCATTCCTTAATGATATTTTCTATTACAGTCATATTCATCTGAAATGAGAATAAGTGAAAAAAAAATCACTGCTGCAGTTGTGTTTTTTCCAAGACTAATAGCTGAGCTTCCTTCTGAGGAGTTCTCTATTTAACAAATAAGCGTTTTCCTTTTAGAAGATATGCACTTAGTTATCCTGAGAGAATTTCAATGCATTTCCTGTTTGTAAATTGTTCATTGAGGAAAAATTTCACTGTGGAAAAATATATATAAAACATAAAATTTGTCATTTTATCCAGTATAAGCATATTCACGTTGTCGTGCAGTCACTACCACTTTATTGCTAAACATTTTTCATCATCCCAGTCAGAAACTCTGTCCCCCTAAGTCACAATTCTCCTTCTGCTCTTCATCCCAACCCCTGGTGACCTCAACTCTAGTTTCTGCCTCTGTCCATTTGCCTGTGAATAGTCTGTTTCTTTCAGTGATAAAAGCATATTTTGATGGAGAAACATCTACTTATGTAGAGAAAGATAGTGGTGCCGTTTCCAAAGAGCAGAAGCATTCTTTCCTTCACATGACCTGGGATGCTTGCCCTGTGCTGATGTGCACTGTGGTAGAACCAAGCACACTTGCGTGTGAAGGCAGGATTCTTGTTCTCAAGGTCAGAAATCAATGGCAGACCACGGAGAAAAAGCTCTGGTCGTTCTATTTACTAAGTGTTATAATGGAAAAGGCAGAAAAAGTGCCACGGATGACCCACAGACTTGCTCCTGGGAGGGAGAGAATGTGTGATACACATAGTCACATTTGCAGAGAAGCTGGCAAGGCCATGTTTGTGTTCTCGTGCAAATCGGAACCTTCACAACTGTGTGCACTTAGGATTCTAGAGAGATTATCTATCAGGACCTAAAGGTAAGAGGAAAAAAGTCAGGGAATAAAAAGCTAAACTTTTGCATAAGAGAAGGTGCCTGGAGGAAGTCAGAAGAGGGGAGTGTATAGAAATCAGGGAGCAGAGCACCCCAAATAGTGGACCACAGATGTTCAGTGACATGGCTGGGCAGGTGGAATTCCAGTAGCTTCAGCCTATTTGAATAAGAACTTTCTGGTGGAGCAAAGATGGCTCGGAACTGGCTGCCTGCTCTCTGTTTTGCTGGTAGGGATAAACAATGGGCCTTTTTTATTCTTCCGTGACTTTAGCTGATTCATCTGTATATGTGACAGGAAATATGGAAAATCAGGATTTGGGAGTCTGTAGATCATGCTGAGAAGTGAGTGACATGTTTGGCAAATAGGCGGCTGATATGAACATATTCCAACCACAGTAAATTCATAACCAGTAGCAGAGACAGAAACTAGAGTTTAAAAATCGATTATTCACACCCCTAAAGGTGTATATAAGGAAACACGTCTTCCCTTTAACATAACAGAAAAGTTACATGTGATTATTACCGTTGTAATTTTCAGAAATACTCTCAATCTAGATGGTGTTTATCTTCTTGGATTTTAAAGGGAAAGTATTTATTAATTTTTATAATAACCTATTGCTGGAAACTGATACCACTGATCATATCAATAAAAAGTTAGATCTTCTTTACGTTTCACTCTTTCTCATGCACACACATACGCACACATTTCCACTGTTAAAAATCTGACACCAGAATCACTCTTACAGGTTTAAAGACATTTCCAGGCTTTGGTTCATACAGAAGAATCGATGAAAAACGATGAAGAATAAATGATAGAAAAGCAATTATATTTGTTCTTTGAGTCGTGCATGGACCCTAAACCACAATGTTTCACATAACATGACTGGCTATTTCTCAACGCAAACAGCCTGCTTGAGGATATTCAGGCCTGCAGGGAAATCTCAAGAGGGGTGAGGTGAGGATTCATTCATGAATGGTTTATTCATTTATTCACTCAACAAACTGTGTGCCAAGAGTTACACAGATCCTGGGGTGAGAGGAGGCATATATTTAAGAAAAGCAGTTTGGTTTTCCCTATGGCATGTAGTGGAATATATAATTCCCTTCTTTTCAACAGGTCAATTAACCTTTATATATGAAAATTGCATTCGTTTTAAAATACTCCCACCTTTGGATTAGACAGTAGTGGCTAACATTAATCAGCGCTTACTCTGTGTCGGGAACTGCTTGGAGTGTTTTCTCACAGCTACTTATAAGGTCGTGGTTGTGCTCATTTTATAGCAGCAGAGGAGACGCACAGAGAGGTGAAGCGACTTTCCCCAAACCACACAATCTGTGAATGGCGGGAACCTGACTGAGCTGAGGCCACCTGGGCTCTCAGCCACCAGTTGCACTCAAAAGTTTATATCCTCCCTAAAAAGAAAAAGCTAATTTTTATAAAATCATCAAGGAGGAATTATTTAATCCACTTAAGAGAACACATTGTTTTCAAGTATCCTCAGGCACTGTAGAAGCACCACCTGTTTACTCGTTCACCCCTAGTCTATTGATGAAGTTCCAGATATAAGCTGGGCGGTGGTGGTGTGGGGGAGGGGCCAGGGAGAGAACTGTTCCCTGTCTCCTAGGAGAAAAAGGAACAAATCATTAATATTTCTTCATTGGTTACTAGGAAATTTCTTCACAGTGAGGTTGGCCTAGTTTGCTTGTACATATGGCAAGTGAGATTAAAAAATAAAATTTTGTCTGAAAAATATGCCAAACATTGAATCAAATGATCCTCTCATGGATTGGCAGTATGTTTAAACATGCCAGCAGTTCTGCTGTTGAGCTGAAATGTTCGTAAGATTTTAAGACTAGGTGACCTGGGAAACAAAGTGAATATTCTACAATGTCCAAAAATACTGAAAAGTTCCCAGAAATTCAAGGCTCACACTTTTTTTTAATTTTTATTTTTAATTGACAAAAATTGTTAATTGTACATATTTATGGTGTACAATATGATGTTTTAAAATGGGAATTTGCTGTGAAATGGCTAAATAAAACTAATTAACATATATATTACCTCTTCTATGACTTAGGAATTATGAATTGGGCTGTAATAAACATTCTGGTATATGTATCTTTGTTATAATATGATTTTTGGTCTTCTGGATATATACCTAGTAGAGGAATTGTAGGATTGAAAGGAAGGTCTAATTTTAGATCTCTAAGTGTTTTCCAAACATCTTTCCAAAAAGAACATATTAGTTTGCATTCCCACCAGCAATGCCCATCGACCCATGAATGGATCAACAAATTGTGGTATATGTACACCATGGAATATTATGCAGCCTTAAAGAAAGATGGAGACTTTACCTCTTACATGTTTACATGGATGGAGCTAGAACATATTCTTCTTAGCAAAGTATCTCAAGAATGGAAGAAAAAGTAACCAATGTACTCCATTTTTTCTACGAAACCAATTTATAGCTTTCTTATGAAAGCTATAACCTAATTATAGCCCAAGAAGAAGGGGAAAGGGGAGCATGGGAAAGGATGGGTGAAGAGAGGTAATTGTTGGGACCACACCTACGGTGCATCTTACAGGGGTACATGTGAAATTTACTAGGTGTAGACTATAAATGACTTAACACAATGACCAAGAAAATGCTGTGAAGGCTGTGTTAACCAGTTTGATGAAAGCATTTCAGATTGTGTGTAAAACCAGCACATTGTATCCCATGATTGCATTAATGTACACAGCTATGATTTAATTTAAAAAATATATACATATATACATTACTTTTCATGGAGATAACATCTAGAATGTACTCCATTAGCAATTTTCAGGTGCACAATATATTGCTATTAACTATAGTTGTCATGTTGTACAACAGATGTCTTGAAATGATTCCTCTCATCTAATTCTCGCTGAAATTTAAGGCCCACAATTCTAAAGTGTCCAAGTTTCCATGTACCTCCTCTTCACATGGTGACAAAGAGGGGCTCCCAACTGCTCCCCCTGGTGGGTAGGCTGAGAAAGAGCAAGTGAAAGCAGTCCTTGGTTTGATTACAACCTTGGTATGATGGACCAAGTTGGCATCCAAGGTACAATCAGAAACTCACCACAATGCAGCCCTGAGGCAAAGCAATATTAATGTTGGTTTTAAGCTCCAGCCCTTTACTTCTTTATTTATTTTTCTTTTTTGAGACAGAGTCTCACTTTTTTGCCTTGGTACAGTGCCATTAC